CTCAAAAGCTAGAAAAGGAAAAGTTGAGAGTGAGAAAGCAGACACATTTGACTGGGATAGTTTAAGGAAGCAAGTGCAGACAAATGGAAGAAAAGAGAGAACCAAAGACACAATGGATTCCTTGGACTATGAAGCAGTGCGATGTGCTGAAGTCAATGAGATTTCTGAAGCCATCAAAGAAAGAGGGATGAATAAAATTCTAGCAGGACGAATCCAGGTATTTTAGTATGTTTAACCTCAAGCCTTAATAACCTTTCTTTCCTCTTCAAATGGCTTTGTGAACTGTTCTCTTACTCATGGTGGATTATGTGAACTCAAGGCACAGATAAAAGATGTTAATAATGGTTGCACAATATTGCAGGAATTCCTAAACCGACTGGTAAGGGAACATGGAAGCATTGATTTGGAATGGTTAAGAGATGTGCCCCCTGGCGAAGCAAAGTAAGCCACCCCAAATATTAGAGTTCCTAATCAAAAGTATTGATTATTCCAGTATGTCAATATGAAGCTACTCATAACAAAATTTAAGCAAAAGATAGCAAACAATTGATCAAATGTCATAATATGTTCCCCAGTTTCTGAAATATCTTTATTTTTCAGGGATTATCTGCTAAGTATTCGGGGGTTGGGGTTGAAAAGCGTGGAATGTGTGCGGCTCCTAACACTTCATCATCTTGCGTTCCCAGTGAGTTTCATGTGTAAAAAACAGATAATGTTGAACTTACAAGAGATAGCAAATTTGTACAATTCAAATTATTCAATTGCCTGTTTGTAAAGGTTGACACAAATGTTGGGAGAATAGCAGTTCGACTCGGATGGGTCCCTCTCCAGCCACTGCCTGAGTCACTGCAGTTGCACCTGCTAGAACTGTAAGTATTATGTCACAAAATTGACACAAAATTTTCTAGTTCACCAAAAATACTAACCAAATTCCCTCTAGGTACCCAATACTCGAGTCAATTCAAAAATATCTCTGGCCAAGATTGTGCAAACTCGATCAAAGAACACTGTAATCGCATGACTCTTCCTTGGAGCCATTCTGTTCATTGAAAGCTGTACTCTCCATGCATAAAGATCATGGGTTTTTTTAATTCAGATAAGATTTGTTGATTCCCGTCTTTTTTTTATGGGATTACAGGTATGAATTACATTACCAGATGATTACATTTGGAAAGGTATACTCATTTTGGCACTTGATAGCATATTAATCAGAGTACTATTTGTGATTAAGCATCTGAAAAGCATCAAAATACCCGTGCTTTAACTTATGCAGGTCTTTTGCACAAAGAGTAGACCCAACTGTAATGCATGTCCCATGAGAGCAGAATGTAGACATTTTGCAAGTGCCTTCACAAGGTTTGCATATCTTCTCTGTCATACTGCCAACAGCATGTAACAAATATTATGCTAGCCATCAAAAAATATGATTTTGAAATATAAAACATTGCAAGGCTGACCATTTCAGTATTCAATCACATGAAATAAAATTAGTGTGGTATAACTTATAAATACCACAACTAGAATAAAATACACAAAATAACAGATGGTTGACAGGTCACTTGTAGCAATAAAAGTTAGCGAGGAGGAAAATTAATTGCAATTCGTAATGTCATGCTATGCTAATTTTGTAGTGGTTGACTGCTCTCTCGCAGCAACGAAGAGGTAGGGTAGTGTTTCAATCAAAAATACATGATCTATGACCCAAAATTATTCACGATCTCCGAATCAGTTGCACATGAGGGGCCACAATTTTACTTCAGTTTAAGACAAGATGTTTGAAAAAGGAGTTTTTCATTGAAGACAATCCTTGAAAAACACATTTTTGTTTCTTATATTGGATACGCATGCATTCTTGCCCAGGCCATAGATATATAAAGATTTTTACCAACTCTTCCAGGCTAAAAAGTAAATAATGACCATCCCATCTTTGATCTATCCTTGTTGTAGGAGGGGAAAACGAAGGAAAAGAAAATTTAGTGTTGATAATTGCTGAAAGAGATCAATGGATGAGATAACAAGAGATCTAAATAGACAAGTTAAATTTCATTTTCTTAAAACCAAGTACCTCATTTCTTAATATGCATAACAGGCATACTTTTGATTTTTTAAAGCAAAGGAAAATATGTGCTGTATTTGATGCAGTGCAAGGCTTGCACTACCTGGACCAGAAACAAAGGATATAGCAACTTCAACCGTTCCCTTTATGCCTGAAAAAAGCCCAAGCATAGTCATCAATCCCATGCCATTACCTCCACCTGAGGACAACCAACATAAAAGCGTGGGGTTTGATATTGGCAGTTGTGAACCCATAATTGAAGAGCCAGTGACACCAGATCAAGAGCAGACTGAATTAGCAGAGACTGATATTGAGGACTTCGGAGAAGATCCTGATGAAATACCCACAATAAAACTCAACATGGAAGAGTTTACTGAGAATTTACAGAATTATATACATACAAACATGGAGCTCCAAGAATACGATATGTCCAAAGCATTAGTTGCTTTAGATCCAAATGCTTCTATCCCCACACCCAAATTGAAGAATGTTAGTCGCCTACGGACAGAACACCAAGTGTAAGTAAAATCTTCTCATAATCAAGGTCGGAACTGAGTTCCTCCACCTTTTTAAGTTTTTTTTTGGTCCTTATGCTTAATAGTTATTTTATCAAAGCTACCCCCCCACCCCCAAACCCATAGACACATGATTCAATTTTCTTCTGCTCTATCGTTGCTCATAACCAATAGCAGAATGATTTACTAGTAACATACATACAGCTCAACAAATAAAAGACAGATTCATACAAAACTATATAAGTTTAGCAAAAATCATCTCGAACATGTGATAAGCCGAACCAACTATTGGCACCATGCACATCATGCAACAGTAGTACTTGGAAATGAAAAACAAATTAGTTGCTAAAAAACCAGAAGACCCCAGGTATCTAAATAATGGCAGAAAGCCAGATTTCAAACTCACAGCCTGCTCCATTAATTATAATAGGTTGAGGGGAAGTTTGGACAATGGATGAGGTCCTAAATGATGCAACTCACTTTGTGTTGTCGTGATGTTATGCAGTTATGAACTTCCAGATTCACATCCTCTCCTTCAGGGGGTTAGTTTTCCTTCCATTTTTTAACGTTTTTATTCCCTTGAAACTACATGCTTTATTTAACAGCCACTTTATAGAACTTGCAGATGGATAAAAGAGAACCTGATGATCCTAGTCCATACCTTCTAGCAATATGGACACCAGGTGAGTACAAAAACTGTGACTTTCAATGGTTTCAACAGCAACTAAAACGAATTTCAGACTACCTATTCTGTATTTAGAGAACTAATTACTGTTGGAGCATGTTGCAAAGCTTCAGGCGTGTTAATATGACTTACCAAAGTAGCAAGCATTCTACTTATATGATGTGACAAGAAATAGTGAATGCTCCTCTCACGAGTAAAAGATGCCACTGCCTTGAAGTATTACTAAGCAATATCTTATTATTTAGGTGAAACTGCAAATTCAATTGAGCCACCAGAACAACAATGTCAGTCCCGGGAACCAAACAAATTGTGCAGTGAAAAGATATGTTTTTCATGCAACAGTATCAGAGAAGCTAATGCACAAACAGTAAGAGGAACACTTCTGGTGAGTATATCCATCTTTGTGGTACATAAATAATCACCGTGGAAGCCCCAGAATTCTAGTTAACTAAATGTTTTGCATACTGATATTTTTATTACCACATATACAGATACCTTGTAGAACAGCAATGAGAGGAAGCTTCCCACTGAATGGAACGTACTTTCAAGTGAACGAGGTAAAACTACTAAAACTTTGTGTAATTCTCCTATTTCCTACAAATGACCAGGAAACCTGCCCATCCTGTGTATGCCAGAATTTAAAGCCATAAACTTTTCAATAAATAATTATCGAGTGAAACTGCAATTTCCTTGCAGATGTTTGCTGATCATGAATCTAGCCTAAACCCAATTGATGTTCCAAGAAGTTTGATATGGAATTTGCCAAGACGGATTGTCTACTTTGGAACTTCTGTACCATCAATATTTAAAGGTACAAGACAATGTTAGTGCATTAACATTCCAACTAAATTACAAAGGAGAAGGCTGGCTAACAAGAACTCATTATTTTTCCCAGGACTTTCAACAGAAGGAGTTCAGCACTGCTTTTGGAAAGGTATCCGATGCTGTTTTCAGTATTTAATAAAATCTTGAAATATGAAAGACACCTTGCCAGTCATGCCGGGATATTGTTAAATTCAAGTCTCATACACTTGGCAACCTTCAGTCAGCTTGACTTCGTCGATTGGTGAAACTTTATTTGCAGGATTTGTTTGTGTGAGGGGGTTCGACCAGAAAACAAGAGCACCCCGACCTCTCAAGGCCAGATTACACTTTCCAGTAAGTAGGTTGGTAAAGACAAAGAACGAGAAAAAATGACAAGCAGGAGAGCAGCATGCGAAGTTTAACAGCAATGGTTCTGACCAGCAAGACATCGCTACCTTATTTTTTGTTTAATAGACATGGCAAGCTTTGTGAAGAAGAAAGATCCATGACTAACATTCTGTTGTAGATTCAAGTGTTCTTCCTCTAACATGAGATGCATTACAATATCCGAGCTGGGCACACAAATTTCAATTGAAGTGGTAGGATAACATCGCTAATGGGATGTAGTTGATGCGATCCCATTTACAGGATCCAAACCCAGCTGAAAGAATTTTCATGTGTAATTGTAGGATGACATGGCTAGTGGAATTTAGTTGATTTCATAGTTTTTAAGATGCTTTTTTTCTATTCAAGCTCAAAACAGGGCCATTCTTAAGAAACTAGTCAATGTGAGCAACACTCCTTTCATCCAAATTATTTCAATTCATGCTCGAATCAGAGCTATTTTCAAAAAGTAGTGAGTAGCGGCAAATCTCTCTCCCCCACACCTGATTCTTTTTCAAATCATGCTCAAAACAGTGCCCTTGTTCAATAATTAATCAATATCAACCCCACCGACCACCAAAAAGAAGTAGAACGATATCTATTAAACTCTGCTTTAAAAAACGTACAGAACTTATGCACATCCATCTATTAAACAGGCATTCAAATCTCAATTCTTAAGACTATTTTAAAGCCTGCTTGTATTTCGAACCAACAGGTATTCAAATTCATCAATCAATTAACATATACACCTGGTAAGAAAACCCTCCATCACTTGCTTATAAAACAAAAGAGCACATAACATCATAATCCTATGCATTCAGCTATTTAGCTAAGCCAGACACAATTAATCCACTAGATCAACAAACCAACACATTTATGACCTACCTCAAGCAATTCACCAATCAAATCACAAACATTTCACAAGCAATCAATCTGATCGATTTCTAACAAAAACTGATATTAACTTCTCGTCGCCATTTAAAAAAAAATAAAGCAGAGACATATTCAGAAGGAAAAAAACACGAAAAAATCATGCTCGGTAATTTAAATTACGCTAAAAAAAACTTAGCTCGATCGATTCCAGCACGGTGTATCTAATCTTTTTTTCTCTGCAGCCAAACAAACACGTGCTCACAATTCCAAAAGATCATAAAATCAATAACAGCAACGGCAGTAAATCGCAATCAAAAACAAATAAATAGCAGCAATAACAGAAATCGCGACCGATGACTAAAATAATAACGCAATCAGAAGTTCAAATTACCTGCGCTTAAATTCTCATCAACGACAACTCGTTTTCGCTGATTTTCTGCAGTAACAAGAAGGAGGATAAATCAAGCTGAGAAACAGAGACGCGAGGAGTTAGGGTTTGGAATTTCGAGTGAACTCGGAGATCGACACTGCGTACCTGAGTAGGAGCACGATCGAGACACGGAAACTCTCTCTCTCTCTCTCTCTCTCTCTCTCTCTCTCTCTCTCGGATGATGAGAGAGGGGGGGCGGATATGAAGAGAGAACTTAAGGGGAAGGGTTTTGGAAATTATTATATTTGTTAGTTTTATATTGTAATGTCCGGGGATGGATTTGATTTCCTTGCTAGTGCTTTCTTTCAATGTTTGCCGCCTTTTTGTTTTCCCTTTCCCTCTGATCGTGATTTTGAAAGTTTCTGCTTTGGTTGTGGATGTGGTTCTCGGGATTTTTGTGAAACCGTGGCTTATATGTCGACACGTGTGTTCTTGCGGCTGAGGATGAACTATTTTTGCCCCTGTGGATTGCGGGATGTTCCATTTTTTACCCCATGCTTCAAAACGTTTTTAATAGCACCCCTGATTTTTAGATTTTTTTAATGTTGTGAGACGCTTTGAAGGTCTTTGATGATTTAGCTTCCGATGATCAATTAATTTAAAGAATTATTTTAAAGAGGGTGCAATGAAAACATCATAGCATTAGAAACACAAACGATAAATAAAAAATTAAAATATGTCTTTGAGATGTAAAGATATGTAGCGTGAGCTGGCATGTTAAAGCATTTCGTGCAATAAATTTAAAATTTATTTATCCTGTGTTCCATTTTTGTATTATATGACACTTATTGTGGAGTGCTATTGATAAAATTACTTGAATTAAAATCATTGTTAAATATATATATATATAATATTAAACATTTTATATAGTAAACTAAATAAATTACTTAATAAATAAATTCTTTATTTGAAAAACAAGTAAGCATAATAACCAAGTCATTATATGTTTTCAATGAAAAAAACTATTAAATAATTTACATAAGATCCATACAAGCTTGAGTCTAACATGCTTGATATTAACTAATTTTAAGATATTAAAATATATTAATTGTGCAGTTGAATATTATTTTATTAATAAGTATAGAGTATAAATCATTTAAGCTAGATAGATTTAAAATATATTTAATATTATTTTTATCTTTTTAAATGAAGTAGGTAATATCTATATAAAAAAAATTATAATTCTTATACTTTTCAAATGTAAGCTAGTACATCTCTAAAATATTTTTGATGGAAAAAAATTCATTTTTCACTCTCAAAAACTAACCAATTAACTTTTAAAATACCAATAAAAACACCTTTTTAATGCTTTTTTTAAAAGCAAATCAATAAAAGCTAGAAAAGCTTTTTTAAAGTATGTGATTTAAGAATTATTTGCTGCTCACGTCGCAATCCAGCTTGGAAAAAAAAAGCATGAGCCTTTGATAAATATTGTGTATAGTCCTACATCATGTGATGGTGGGACCATCATGTTCATTAGTAAGATATCTCTTTAAATTAAATATGTTTGCCATTGTAGATGACAGTAGTGTTTTTAAACAAAATAAAAGAGAAAAAAGAGAGAGAAAAAGGAAGAAGAGGCAGCAGAGTAATCTGTCTTCTTTCTTTGATTTTTAGTTTGTTCATTGTTAAATCGGGATGAGATTTTAACAGCAACTTGTAGACACGTTACTTTTCATTTTGGATGGTTTGATCGAAGATTGGTTGTGTGGAAGCTAACCG